GTGACTAACTCTGGAGGGTTGGCGCTAACGAGAGCCGTTTTTGTTATCGACCAGTATGGAGCTTGATGCCTGGCCATTATTGTCGTACTCCTCTACCACCAACGAACGAAGAATAGGACTTCAGGAAAGACTCAGCATGAAAAAGACGTCCCCGATGTGACTACCCTAGTGGACCGGCATGGATGCTATATTCTCGGACAGATGGTTTAACCGGCGCCGAGTATAAATAAACTCAAACTGACTGACTGACTGATACAAAAGGCTGAAATTTGATCTGCATCATGTCTTTCGATATGACAAAACAGCAGCACTTTTGGGGTACATGTATTTACTTTCTGAGACAATCTCATTAAAATCAGATCATCGTTTTTGCTCCGTTACTCTTCGCTACGAGCGTAGGGTAGTGAAGCGACAGTTAGGATATGATTTTAATGAGATTGTTTCTGAGAAGAAATGACCACAGGTAACCGTAATGCTGTAATGTCTCGTGCATTTATATATCACCAGTAGGGGGTGTACATACTGGGCCTTTTCTAGAAACAATTCCCTGTTCATCTAACTGGGCTCTTATTTCATGAAATGAAATAGTATAGTACATTTCTGATTTTTTCAGAGAATTTTTTTCCATTTTTTTTCATTTATATTTTTTTTATATCAATTGTATGAATTAATTATAAGATAGAAAACTACTTTGAATATTCGTGCACACTTCGTTATGCACACTTCGTTATGCACATTTCGTTATGAAATTTACTAGTTCCGATATTCAAGTTTGCTTCAAAACGTTCGCAACGGTTTTGGCATGTCATATCCTCTTACATTCTCGTTTGATCCACAAGTTGGTTTGTATGCAATATCAAAGTAAAATACATTATCTACTACCAAAATGCTTAGAACTCGACCTATTCTTGAAGTTAGAGAACATTCGTGCAAAGGATCCCTGTAGTTTGCAAACGCATGTCAACAGCGCAGAGCTCAAAATTTCCTTCCGGACAACGTCTCTTACAACGTGACGTGTGCATTAAGCCACAAACTTTACGATAAACTGACTTTCTCAGTGATCCCACTTGACTTACATTTCAATGCCATATTTAATATTTGGCTATTACTGTCTTTTTTTGCCGAAACAAATGTTCTACTCAGACTAATAAATACACACGAAATAGCTCATTTTTTGTGACAATGATTTTTGCCCGATTGCAATGAATTGCAGTCAATCTTAAAGCAGGAGATCTTAGCTGTTATACCAGACACAGCATATAATTTTCTGCGAACCATTTCTGCGACAGCGATCATTGTTTCACAACCATTTGCAAAACTGTTCGCATCTAAATTTACGTTGAAATACACACGAAAACGCAAACATTTATAACATACATTTTGTGACTGTCATTTACGCTCGATTACAATAAATGGCATATATGCTAAACACAGGGGGTATTAGCTTTCTAACAAGACATGGCATATAATAATCGGTGAATTATTGCCGTCACTGTGAACAACAACTTGCAGCCGTTCCTTTAAAAAATGTGCACATCTAAATTTCCGTTACATTTGTGCAGAAAATGGAGTTGTCGAAGTAATAGAAACAACTTTATTATGGCAAGGCAAAACTCATATGTCTTTGTGTGAGAACAACAAATTAACAATATTTCAAAATCAAAGTGCTGCAGCACTGAATGCGACGGACATGCAACCGGAGAGACATTAAGGCTTCTTTTAGAAAAAAAAAAAACAAAAACAAAACACAAAATATATAACAGAGAAAATTTGTTCCATACAAGTTCGAGATTTGTAGAGCAATATATTTTGTGTCCCAAATTGATATAATTCAGATTTTCTACTTTCAAGCACTTAAATACAGAATGAAATTTATGCCTAAAAACTCTGGTCAAACTTGTAAATCAGTGTCCTTATCGATTTATTCTAAGAAATGATATGTAAATAGATAAAAACTATCAACGAAAATATTTCTAGAATAAATCCAGGCAAATAAACTTCAAACATAATACATTATACATTTGAGAATGCTATTTAGAATTGCTTCGTGTTATATCATAGTGGGCATACAGACAATAAAATATAAGTCATTTGTATTTTTATTTCTCTTGGATATGTCTCATTAAAAAAAAAATTGGTTAAAATCATCAGCAATTAATAGTGTATTTCTTAGATTTTTTTATTTACAAGGTAAAGATGTAGAGGCCAGAGCACATCGTTTTTATTTTAATTTAAATGTCACTTAAGCACTACAGTGTTTAGTTGTCCTTTTCAACTTTCACACTAAATTTCCATTTCAACTTGTTTGCTTCTTACAATTGTATAGAATTTCTTAAAGTATTGCATGTAATTCCGCTGGTTTATTAATTACATGTTTAATGTGTACTTCCTAATCGCCTGTCCAAAAATCAGAACGGGTGAAGCAGAAACTATTTTTAGAATAGCGAAGGTTAACTCATATCATGACCTAGTAAAATATGTAAACAAACCACAAGAATCGGAAGTAGAACTGATATTATAACTTCCTTACCATGAAAGACTACATGGCGGTAAAGTGTCTTACATGCATTTTCAAAAAATAGATATTTATACTAGCCATTGTACTGTATCTAATATATTAATCACTGCTGAATATTCAGCTAAACCCGCGGTATGAGTCACGAAAATAGTTCTTCTTTTATTAATGCGCGAGTTATCCTTGAGTCAGGAAAACTTTTGATTTGTTAATAATAATGTTTTGTATAATGTAGAAATATTTATTTCCTACTAATAATGTCTCGGAACTCAGAGGTTACACCTTTATTGTAGTATAATTTGCTGTCCTACTTTTTCGACAGCGGTAAATCGTTTCAGCAGTAATTTGCATATTGCGCAATAATACTACGGGACTACAACGTTTTTATCAATAATATACGTTCATATTTTAACTTGGATAACTTAATTTGAAATTGAAAAGACTAAATATGGAAGACATTAAGATATCCAGACAAAGTATGGGAGTTTTGAAGGATCAAATTCATGAACTATTTCTTGGGCTGTTAATTGGTTTAGGACACATTGCGCGAGTGTAGCCAACGAAATCCCATGTGTAGATGACTTAGCTCTGAACGCGCCTGAGGGCGCGTCCGTCGCAAAAATGCAGACGACAAAATTTTGTCATATGAAATCGCGAACACAATTATTTGGTAATATTGTCGAGCTAGTAGCATATGTGTTTTCTTATCTGATTTATTATCATACCTTTTATCATTAGGCAGAGATCACTCAAGATTAGTTCTGTAAATTCATCATCATCATCATCGTCGTCATCATCGTCGTCGTTGTCATCATCGCCATCATCATCATCAATATCACCACCACCACCACCACCACCACCATCATCATCATCATCATAATCATCATAATATATATAAACCATACCCAAAACGTGTCATAATCAATACTATAAAAATTTTATTCACTGCTAACATAATATATCTGTCATAATGGATACGTTAGGAAGTATATCTCAAACAAATCACCAAAAGAATCAACGTTGAACATTTCGGAACAACACGAAGTTTTATACATTCACACAAGAATAACAAATAAGAAAGAAAGTGGAAGCAAACTGACTTATCTCCCGTTGACCACGGTCATTCACGTAAATGACCATTACGTCCCTTTAACAGTTGACATCTCAATAAAAAGGCTAATGACGCTGATACAAAAGTCACTATCTGCTGCGCTCTGATTCTATTCTATCTTCTGCAAAATGGAGTACTTTTTGGGGATTTACTTTCTGAGAAAAAATGACCAGCGGAAACCGTAAAGCTGTAATATCTCGTACATTTATATATCACCAGTACTATGGGGCGTAGGGGGTGTGTACTGGACCTTTTCTAGAAACAATTCCCTGTTCATCTAACGGGGCTCTTATTTTATGAAATGAAAAAGTATAGTACGCCTCTGATTTCTTTGTAAGAGACCATTTAGTGAGACAATTATCAACAGACAAATAAATCGTGGTTTTTGGGTCTTTCTATGTCCTCCACACGCTCATGGAGTTAGGTCATGATTTGGCTAGTATTTATAACTAGTCTGAGATTCTGATATTACCTCACCTTTTGTCAGTGTAATTCGGGCAAAAAATAGTGAAAATCAGCAAAAGTTTGACCTGTGACCCACTCATGGAATCGAATTACATGTGAAACCTCCTTTTATTTGAAACATATATTGCTGAACCTCCTCTGATAAACAAGAACTCTCGGTAGAACACCATGCTCGACTGTGTTTGATAGTAATACAATAGCCCGGAAAAAGTAAAAAATAAACTATAAACAAGATGGCCCGGAGCCGCTCACCAGGAACAACTGCTTTTCAATGTTGGAAATTATCCATTCTCAATATTTTCTATTTTTAGCTTTAGTGGCCCCTATCAAATTAAGATAACAGAGTTCCCAAGAATGCTACAGACAAAGTTTTATTAGATCTGTAGTAGGATGTTTAAAGGTTTTTTTGTCTATTTTTAGCTCTGTTGGCCCCTATCAAATTAATATGAGCAAACTTGATAAAAGACTACCCAAGAATGCTACAAAGTTTGGTGATCATCCATCCATTAGTTCTGTAGAAGATGTCTAAAGGTTGTTCTATTTTTAGCTCTCGAGACCCCTAAAATTTTAAGTAAATCTGCCCAGCAGTTTTCAGAGAAGAAGACGATTGTTGACACATGATGACGGACACCAGAGCATCCTGCTTTGATACTAATAGCTCACGCTGAACCTTCGGTTCTGGTGAGCTAAAAAGGGTCATAGTTTGATTAAAATCCATTTCAGCATTATGGGTCTCAAACAGTGACCGCCTATTAAAAGTTTGTTTAGTTTCAACCCATTCCCTTGTAGTTGTGGAGACACCAACTTGAATGCAAAACCTTTACCCAAGTGTGACAGGGATACCAACATCTAAAATACAAGAACCACACCTATACATGTACATTGTATAAAGACAAAACAAACAATTCAATCTTTTCAGCTTTTATTGAGTCTCCTACCTTTTATATAATTTAACATAGCATTAATTTCATTTCGAACTGCTGATAATTTAAATATCCATTTTACACAAACTTGCAGAACTGACCATCAATCAAAATTTTGTCATATAAATATGAACAGTACAATCTCAGTTTGACAATTAAGTTCTAGTGAGGGAATATCTCCTTTGCAGTAGATGTTAGTTTTGAACTTTTATTTTTTTAAAAACTTGAATAAAGAAACATAATAACAACTACCTTCCATCATTCCCTAAATATAAGTCTTTATAAGAAAAAATTCAAGTAAAGTTTTTTTTCTTTTCTTCTTCATAAAATTTATCTTTTAAGACCAGAAAAAAAGTCAATATACAGTATATAAAGTTAAAAAAAATCCTTTTTTAAATTTATTTTGATTTATCTGTCACCCAGTGTGATCTGTCTGACAGAAATACTACTTGAGCTTTTATGGCCTAAATCTGTTTATAAAAAGGAGAGAAAACCCAGAAAAATTCCTACATTTGACCTTAAAGGTAAAGATCATACAGAAATCAAGATCATTTCAATATGCAGAAATGAAACTCTTTAAATAACCTCTTCATGACTGGAAACTTTCGTAAAATAAATAAACAAGCTATGTCCAGTTATCTGCATGATAATAAATTATCAGTTTGCCCCTACATTTCCTGGCGTTGCTATAGTTTCGCCTAGTTCTTCCAAAAGTTCTTTTCTATAATCACTGAAATCTCCGTCCACTTCGTTAATAGTTCTATCTTCTACCACCCATAAAGTACAATTTGTTTCACAGATTAATCTCTGGTCATGACTGACAATCACCACACCTGAAATAAGCAACGACATGGTGATAAAATACTAGTAAAGCTAAATGCCTTCACCATATGAGTAAACAATTTCAAGAAAATCAAACTTAAAAAAAAAAATGAAGAAAATCAAACTTAAAAAAAATGCTTAAGCAAAAAAGAGTCAAGTAATTGTTTACATGTGATTAATGAGAAAAATGTACTACAATTTAAAGAAAAGTAAAAAGATTTAAGATTGAAGTAATAGTTAACATGCCATGAAGGATTAAGAACTGATTTTGCAATATGTATCTCCATATTCCTACTCTGTGACTTACATGACTATAGCAGTATGAGCACTTTTTGCAGATATTGATTATCTTTTTAGTATTTTACGCCAAGTTACTTTTTTTTTGTTCACTTCACACTATTTTACTTTTAAAAACATTTTCAAAATTTTCATGCAAATTAGATAAATCTTGAGGCATGCTGCTTTAAACGCTGATTTAGTATTATGGGAAAATACAGTAATATCAAGGGATATAACTCTACATAATCATTTCAAAAGAAAGGGGCAATTGCTTGTCATTTTCTTAAATTAATAAAGGGAATTAACCCTATTAAAATAAAACAAAGAGCAATAATTGAATGTACTTAAAAGATGGGCATTAACTTTGTCAATTATAAATTTGAGTATTTATTATGCCTTAACTCGAACCAAAGGTATTATAATTTCTGTGTATGTTTAAATGGGTGCCTTTATGCTTTCCCACCATTAACATTTTTCCCAGTTGTTAACTTTGTCCTAAATTCAAGGTCATCAACTCTTCTCTATTTTCAAATTTATTATTACAAGAGTTGATGTTCTTGAGTTGATGTAGATAATCAAATACAAACTGGCTTGTTGAAAAACATTAACTGTCTAATCCATTAAATACAAAATCTGATAAATACATTTTAATACTTTATTGTCAATTTATTTTTAATTTGCCCTGTATTAATGATATCTTAAGAAATCAGTAAACAATGAATTCTTTCTTAAGATGGCAAGTACATACAGTGAAAGTGGCAAAAATCAGGACTAAAGCGTATCACGACAAAAGTTTAAAGGGTCAAAACTTTAACAAAGAGTTAGGTGTTACTGTGATATTTTCTGCTGCTGATAGAATACAATCTAGGAAAATAATGTAAATTTATTTGGTAATCCTACTCAATAATTGCTGCGAGTTCTACTTAACTACTTTTAACACCAATGTAATAATTGTAGTGGTATTTAAATCTTTAAGTATTCCCTTCCTGAAACTATCAATCCATCACATAAACACCAAACAGAAACCTAACAAAAAAACTTCCTAACCCACGATTGTTTGTTTGTTTGATTGGGTTTTACGTCACACCGACCCACAATTGACTGCTATATTTAAAATAACTAAAATTCTTTCTAATGCCACTTTAAAGGTCTCACGTTTTGATACTTTACATGGAGAAAATTTTAAGTACCAGTTATATCTTAAGGAACCCCATCGAGGCACAAAGGCCTTAAAGCATAAAATTTGAATTGATTATGATATAGTTCAGCTGAGGCACTTAAAACAGAATAATATGCAAAAGACAATTAAGAAATATACTCAGAATTAGTTGAAAATCAATGTTTTGTGCATTTTTTAAGGCTGATTTGAGTGATGAGTTGCGACACTTTTCATTTTTGGTCATTTACACAATAAAAATGATGGGGTGAAGGGTTAACACATGAAAATCTGCACGCAAGTTATTGCTAAATCTGAGAGAAATATTTCCAGTCCTGTCTCAGTGGTGTCCCTTTAACATTGTGCTGATCACAGATGTTGAACAAATGTACATGTGTGTATATTTTCTCAACAAAAAACAAACAAAAAAAACCCCCATAAATATCTAATTGATATTATATACATAAACACATGCGTGTATACTAAAATGTAATAAATGTTCCATGTGCAGTGTTGAAATACATAAAATAATAATATTTTAGAATTAACCCACCCTTCTATTTTAAATTTTTTTCGGTTGCGCTTTCAATGCTTTTTTGTGCATATCATCAGTCGAATATTTAAATCATAAATGTATATACATGTTTATTACCCTTCCAGATTTTTTCCGCCTTTTTGATTGGTTATTGATCACCAGAAAGAAATTGATATTACCGAGCCAGACGGGTAATATACACACTAAATTTCCCCGTTTGGTACCCACGTTGTAAACAACATGCGCTGTGGCGATGCGCGTACGGTTTGATTTTACGTGATGTAAATTCCGATTTACAAGCACTTTGTAACTGTCAAATTATAAATATTTACCAAAATAGAGTTAATGATACATCTTCTCATCAGTATTGAAAACAAATATGACCTTGTGCAAGCTTGATATTAATTCCAAAAAAGTGCGTTCAACAGACTGCTCCTTTTCTCTTGTTTACATTTGTTAGGTTCGAGAGAAACTACGTCATGTATTTATGTGACGTCATGTTGTGGGGAAGGGGTACCCTAAAGGGAATCTTATTTCAACGTTTCATTTGAAGTAGCAAATGATTTATTTCAAAATCGTCTTAACTCCGCAGGGGAAGGGTAATAAAATTATTATTTTGGTTTTTGAGTGATATATGTGGATATATTACCTCCCAAGATAAAATATCACCCTCGCCTAACGGCTCGGGTGATTTAAAATCTTGACAGGTAATATATCCACATATATCACTCCAAAACCAAAATAACATATAATATTTAGAATAAAACACAAGCTTACCTCCTGTAAAGTCATTAATAGCTTCAGCTAGGGCGTCTATTGACTCAATGTCAAGATTATTTGTAGGCTCATCCTGAAAAATTTTAACATATTTTTTCTTAAATGAAGCCTGGTCCAAAAAATGTTAAATTTGAAAAAGTTTATTGTACATATTCTGTATGAAAACTGTGACATTTAACAAATTCATAAAGAATAAAACAAACAAAGTAAGTACATCCTGCTACTAGAGTTAAAGAGAAAAGTTTCGTGAATATCTCTAACACCGTCCCAAATTTAAAAAGTGACTGCAAATTGGTAGTTCAAACCTGTGACCTATGCTGTGACTAAAAGGTTGATTTTGGGAGCCTGCATAAATTATTGTGAACTCTGCAAGTTGTCTCAAAGTTTGATGGTTTTTCTATTTTTTTTATGCTCATTATTTATCACATTTTTTGTTATATCTCCGTGGTCTATCAACTTAACTGACTTTCCTGGAAAACTAACCAGAAATTACTGGTCAATGTATCCGCAAGCAGACCTGGGGATGATTACATTGACAAGAAATTTATTTAATTACAATTACTTTCAGATTTGATTGTAATTCATAATGATTGATTACTCAGACTTGTCTCTGTTAAATCAATTAAATTACAATTATTTTAAGGGAGTAATTGACTGATAATTGATTACATTCAATATATAACTGTAAAACAAAGGTTAAACTGTATCATGTGAAATAAAGGCATCCATTGAATTTAAATAGTTTTCCTGTTAAATCTGATAGTAATCAATGTCAATCAAATTGCAATCATAAATATTGGCTGCATTTAAACAATTAAACTAAACTATAAATGAGCCGCGTCACAACAAAACCAACATAATGGGTCTGCGACCAGCATGGATCCAGACCAGCCTGCACATCGCACAGTCTGATCAGGATCCATGCTGTTTGCTATCAGGTTCTCTACTTGTAAAAGAGTTGGTAAGCGTACAGCATGGATCCTGATCAGACTGCGCGGATGGGATAAAAATAGGAAAACACATACAAGAACAAGGACATCAGGTTGTCTGCAAGTCAGATCAGCGAGGGCAACTCTCGCTTTCTGTCCACCGGATAAATCACGGTTCTTTATTGTATGAGCATGTCCGGGTAAACCGAAACTTCCTAAAGTCTTCCTGCACAGCTGATAGTCCATATTAAAATTTCTCTGTAAATAAAATAAGTTTTTTTTATTATATTTGTATTTTATTCATACTATAATAGACACAATGCTGATACTATTTGACATTTTATGGTCTGTGTGGGGCATACACATACATCAAATGTTTTAGTGGAATAATCCAGTATTTTTAAAGGAAAGTGAAACCATGTGCTTGACCAATCAAAAATTCAAACAGTTTTACTTTCCAAAAAAAATAAAAAAAAAATAAAAAATTCCAGAATACATGCTTTCCTCGACACTTTATCCCATAAAAAATAATGAAATATTAAAGTTAATATTGGTAGAAAATAAAACCTAGGCCGTCTTTTGTATTGGTTTTCTTCAAAAAAATATATCCTATAACACTTTGATAGAGAAAGGTTTAAAAGTTTTCATTAACCCCCCCCCCCCCCCCCGAAAAAAAACAACAAACAAAACCAAGTGGATTAAGCGTTATTTAGTTGACATTTGACCTTTGAAAGAAAAGAACAAATTTTATATCTTTATTGTTTTAAATAGCTTAAATCAAAGATAATAAAGACATTTAGTGGTCTTTAAAACAAAGTTTAACATACGGTGAAATTTTACTTGAAGGACTTATAATTTCTCAATTAACCTTAAATCTGTTTTTGTCAAAACTATATTTCCTCATATGACACTGGGGCTTGTCATTTTAATGAAGTGGTCTCTTGACTTAACAAGTTTCATAATTAACCATAACGAAAATATGCTTAATGTTTGTTTGTTTCATTTTACGCCTTTTCCCAACAGTATTTCAGTCATATAGGCGGGTAGTTTCCTAACCATCGTTCCTGGAGAGCTACACCACTACTAGACTACCTTCCTCCGTGCTAAACTACCAAAGCATATTATCCTGGGGATAGAACCGACGCCAGAGAGGTAACTGGATTAGAAGTCATTGACTCTAACCCCTCGACCTTGGGTTCCTCTTGTGCATTATTTTACACTCAAACAAACCTGAGTAGAACCACCCAAGCTTCCATTGACAAAAGACCTTCCTTACATAAGGAGTAAAAGTCCTTGGGTGATATGAGATTTAAACCTACAGTCTTGAAAGGCAAGTGATTAGAAGTCCTAGACTTTAACCACTCAGCTATGGAGGCCCAACAAACCCCTCCCCTCCCCCAAAAAAAACCAAAAACAAACAAAACAACAACAAAACAACAACAACAACAAACAAACATGTAACTTACCTGTAAATGTTCAATGGGTGTTTCATCTGGTGTAAGTTGATCTGCAGAGTGCTGATCATATTTTCCAATCCTCTGAAAGCCAAAAACGTATCATTATTAAGACTAGTATTTTATAAAAATGCAACAAGAGTTTGAGTAATATGTGACTCATTCGCTATCTGTTCATTTAAAAAACAAAACTTTTTTAAACTCTCATTGAAAACTATCAAGGCTTTTCAGGAATTCTTTGTTCCTTTAACTTATGTAAATCAATGTGTATAATTCAGAAACAATAATATTATTATATAATTCACAATTCAAACAAAAACTTTAAAAGTTTAACAATTTTTTTTCAGTCACATACTCAAATGCCATATAATATTGATTTAATTATTATTATTTATTTATTCTGCTATAATCCTTCACTATGTGAAATCTATAAAATCTATATGTGCTATGCGAGTCCTTTAATATGTGACAGTCCTTTAATATAAGTCCTTATATAATGTGGTAGTCCTGAAATATGTGACAGACCTATTATATGTGACGGATCTTTAATATATTAGTCCTTAAATATGTGTAAGTTCTCTGGTATGTGACAGTCCTTAAGTCTATAACAGGCAGTTTTTTTATAAGTTATAGCAATGATATGAAAAGAAAGCTATCATATGAAAAGACAGCTATCATATAAAGATCATATGATTATTTTGAATCATGTAAAACAAAACTTCCATATAGTGTCATAGTAAGAAAAAAAGTTTTTATTCGATTGAAATCTTTATCTCAGCTAAAAATTCATTATGAGTATCAAATGCCATTTTCGAGTTCAAATCAGGATAAATATATCAGTAATTCCTGTGTGTAGCAATGCAATTTTTAAACCTTATCCTGCAGGAACCAAAAATGCTTAGTGTTTGTCACCAACCATCTTCATATTTCAACAGTTTTATCAGACTGCACTGTTGGAAGATTCTATCTTTGTTTTTGTATTTTGATGTGTTGGAACCCCTTAAACATCGAATGGATTATTCCAAATACAATGCAGGGCAAATCTATTATACAAATTTAGCAGGTTTAAAGGGCATCAGATATATCCATAATATAACTTACCAATCTGTGATTCTTTTGCAACTCTCCCACCGTCTGAAATATTAAAATCAACAAGATTACCTAAGCCTTCAAATTAGTGATATGTGAGTATATTATCGTGTCTTCACCATTTTGAGGACAAAGACATGTAATGGCAGAAATTAGCTAAACGGACTTACAATACTGTATTTATAAATTTTTCACTTTTTTATCAACAAATGCATCAAAATGCTAAAATATCAATGTTCTTAGAATTGCTTTATTCATGTTTTATTTTAACTTTTGAAAGGGGTTGGGAGGGTATTTCATTTTATATTGCACCGACACAATACAGGACATATAGTGTTGTTTCAGCTTTACTGGTGGAGGAGGAACGATAAATTTACTATTTTAACCAAAACCAAAAATTTACTATTTTAAAAGAATTGACTGAAATAAATTTAGTAAAATTATGATTTTAAAATTTTTGTCACTGGCTTTGGCTGTAGTCATATACATGTCTTTACCATGTAATATAAGCATTACACATCTCTATATATATCATGCATGTAATATTATCAGAATCTTACAATGGCTGCCACTACGCCACTCATGAGAATACAATACTGTTTTTAAAGCTCACTCGATGAAATAAAATTTCATCTTACACACAAACGATTAAATATCTTCTATATATGACAATTGTTGTAAATCATATCAAAGTTGATATATAAAACATAACAAAATCAAAGGATGTAATAATATTAATAATACTTACCAGTTCCAGGTCTCCCACTAACAGTTTTAGGAATGTACTTTTCCCAACACCATTGGGGCCAACAATTGCAACTGAAAAATTTGTTAAATAGTGTAAATGTATATATTAATCAGATTAAAACTACCAAATATTTTGTGGATTGATGGCAAGATATTTTCAGTCAGTTTTTGTTTTTTATACAGAAAGATTTTACTCTTTTTTTTTTTATTTTAAATCACACTTCATATGTCCCAATGGCTATAATTTGTACAATGTTTTTTGGATGCCAACCTGACAAAAAGCTAAGCTGTAGCCTCTATTATATCCTAGTTAAGAATTCAAGAATCACAGCTTATGACCATTAACTACCATGGTGTTGGTAGTTTTCATTCCAGATCACAGCAGTAAGCCATATTGAATTTACCAGAGCACATTTGCCACCGCATCGTTCCTGTTCATTATTTTTATTGTTAGAAAGATATAGACATTTACTAAATATCTAAACTCTGGACATTTAAGTATATTTCAGTTTACAGTTACTGAAAGAGTTAAGTAAAGTACTCCATTCAATTCAATTCCTTGCCCAACAGACAGACATTCTCACAGTCATATGGATTGTTATGTGGCTACCCAATTGTTTTGCCTTTTGCTCTTTTAGCCACAAATACAAATGAATAAATTCTCAGCCTCATTTAACATCCTCTATATACTATTTTCAATGAATAAAATATCGAGAAAATTCTGATTCTAAACTGTTTCCTGCTAAGTTAGGCATTTTTGATTTGGATACAAACAGAACTGTGTGCACTTACCTCTTGAGTTCATATCAATACCAAAGTCTAAATCCTTAAACAATGCCGGGCCTTTTCCATAACTGAATGTACAATCTGAAATTGAATAGGCATGTATAAAAATATACATGTGGCAATAAGGCCGAGTGGTTTACGCAGCAAGACTGGAAATATGAGGACTGATGGCTGCAAGGGATTCAAACCTTGTCAGAAGCTATTCCTTGCCCAAGCAACATTACATTAGTTGTTTTGTACTAATTATTTTCAGGACAGATTGAAGAGATTATTAAGTTCATAATTTCTTACACAATCTCAATAAATTTGGGGTACAGTAAATATATATAACAGAAAAAATGTGGATATTTTTAAAGCAAAAAAATGTGTTTAAGCCATTTAAACCATACAAACTCTTACTAAAACATTAACTGTGGAATATAATGGGACGGAAGTGATAAATAGGCCCTTGGCCCAGTGTTAAAAAAAAAAGATTTTATTTTCATTGCTTTATGGAACTAAAATTGATCATATTAGGCTCACAACAAACTGATAAACAAACAAAATGTGAAGAAACGCTGATTTTTCTATTTTTGAATAAAATTGTGGAACATCAATACAAATATAAAAATAATCAAATCAAAATAAGGATCAATTTTAAGATCAATATGTACAAAGGCCAAAAATATAAATTTCTAATTCTTTACATAACAAAGCTGAGGCTTTTAAAATAGGAAGATATTTATATGTAGATATGTATTTTGTGCTACTCTTAGCCCAACTTGAGTAAAACGCGTTTAATATTTTGCGTAATTTTTCACAATCGTAATAATTATTCTGGAAAAACAGTGTGAGCAAATGATCTGAAATTTTGCATTCACATTAGTAGTACAGCCCTACATCGAATGGAGAAGTAATCTCGATTAAATTATTTCCAGTCCCGTCATTTCAAAACAATCAGTGGAGTCCCTTTTATTTTTAGTGAACACTAAGCCATTAGATAGGTGATAGGGTAAATAAATGCCTTGTTGATACGTACTTGATATACCAAGGATGGGTGGATTGAGCGGAGCTGGTTTTGGGAACCGGAACTTCACCATATATTCTTTCGGTTTCTGTAACAACTCGGTTTTCTTCTCGTCTTCTGCAAACATTTCCTGCTTGGTGCGATTCTTCATCTGTTTTCTTGTAAGAGCTTCCTTTGCTTTTGATTCCTAAATCATTATAATGTTTATAAAATCTCTATCTACCAAAAATCTGTATCAATTATTACAGCACGAAGTAACTTTTTCAGGACCCATCCTAATGAGACTTTTTTATGGTGATAAGCTAACAGAATAGTTTTTCCAATGATTTTTTTTTGGGGGGTGGGGGGAGTCACACCGAGCTGTGAATATCATAATTATTACACTTTACCAGCATTACTGGTAGAGGAAGACCCTCTGACCCCATTGCATTAGTTTCAGACATTAGCTGGCACCTAAGCAGAACCACATGGCTTATATGAGTTAATTGGATACCTTTCTTTCATATAAGTGCTTGTTTTAGGGACCGATGATTTAAAGTCAATGCCTGTAACATCTCAGCATCAAAGGTGCTGACAAATCAACAACATAAATTAATAAAAATAAAAGAAATATTACATCAAATGCTAATACACTTACTGATGCATATGAAAGATTTTTATTTTCCAATATTTGTGCTTTTATTCTTACCATCTTACTGGGCAGCAAAAACCAAAAAATATAAAAATCACAAACATATGCTTCTCTGGAGACTTTATCCTTGTTGAAATACTTACAGCAACTTTCTTGGATTTCCCTGAGGCTTTATCCTCCTTGATTTGTTTTTCTTGCTTTTCATAAGCTTTCAACTGTTCCTTTCGTTTCTGTACCAACATCTTCTTGAAGGTAGCTTAAACATAAAGCAATGAATACAATAAAAATCTTTTACAGATATTTATCATATGATGTTGAAATTTTTCATGTTATATAAACAGTGTATTTCTTTTTATTTCAAACATTATAAAAATGTAACCAATCAACTTCCTGCGTTTCAACCATGTGATCTTCAAATATAAATCATTATTTGGATCAAAACTTATCAATTTGGCCTAGTTTTCATCCATATCAAAACCATATTGTACATAATCCTTCCTAGTTTTCTCTATCCAAAAAAATCCATATCAAATTCATATCATACCTGACAAATGAAGATTCTATCAAAATGTTCAAAAATTGGTGGTGTAAAATAAAAGAGGTCTTAATAAAGTTTTAATTACAAATACAGATTCTATTTAACTCGTGCACAGCTACAAAACTTATACTGAACTAAGCTAGCACCTTTATCCAAAAATAGATTTAACAGCAGTGTACATGTCCCTTTGAAATCAGTATTGGACTCAACAATGTATAATAACCTCAATACTTCCTTTTTTTAAGTACATAATTATTATTATCCATGGTAAAATTATCTCCTAAGTCTAATTTTTAGTGATGGAAATCGGTTGAAATTTGTCCCAATCGATCATTGGTTCAGTCGGATGGGACATAATCGATAACTTTTCGAATAAAGTCGCATTAAAAAGAAATATGGAAGTAAGATTTCTTCACAAGGCACTTGATTTTATTCAGTAACATGAACTTCATTTAGCACTTTTTAACACAGTTTTAACCTTATGTATTCATAATTTTAAGAAATAGATTTTATTTTGCAATGGATGTCAAATAATAACATTCAAATCACATTATATTACAATGTACTATTGTTTACATCACTAATTGAGCCTGTCCAACTCCAAATTGTTTCTGAGATGATTTTTTGCGATCGGCGAGGTGTTCCTAAAAGAAAATTACCGTCAGAATTAATTACCTTTGATTTTTAAACATTTTCAACAAATTTTTGTGAAAGGATTTACATAACAGTAAATGATTATTGACGACTTGCGCCAATCTGAACATCACTACTAATTTTACAGGTTTAGTACAATGACAGAAGAGACCGGGCTGAACACTTTAATGCTGCTGAATGAAATATACTTAAAGAAAATATTCACCATAGTTTCCCCTGTAGTAGAAGAGTTTTTGTTGATCTAGATGTATAATATCTGAACAAACATTGTCGAGGAAACTCTGATCGTGAGAGACGACTAGCAACGTCTTCTTCCATGACTGAAGATAACTGTAAATAAAATCATGTTGATAAGAGTACAATAGAACCTCGGCTAGTCACAGTTCAAGGGAATTGGATAATATATAAGGTGAAAATCACGACTTTTCATTTTATTTTAACAAATCAAGAAAATCTACTAATGGAAGTTTTATACACAGAAGTTCTAGTGTATTTGCTTATGTCCATCTAAGATTTTTTAGTGGGTAGGTAACATAACAATAAATAGACAATATTTTATTTTAAGACTTACATATTGTTGAAATTGAATAAAAGAAATCTATCTCTAATTAAACTTTCTCCACTTAAGATTTACTTACATGAAAGAACTTGAAATAAATTTTTCAAGACTTCAAGTGCATCATTTTATGAAGGTCCAGACTAATATCTTTTGTGTAAAGTTTCAGATCATTAACTCAGTCCATTTCCCCAGAATAATAATTTTTATTGTGCATAATGACCAAAAATGGTAAGTGTCATAATTTTTTCCCATTCAAACCAGGCTAAAAATCATGCAAAAAAAAATGATTTACAATTTAACTCTAACTCTTTCATTATTATCTTTTACAAATTTTTCTCATTTTAAATGCATCACTTGATACATGTCAAGTTTATAAGTTTTTACATTTTTTAGGCTTCTTGACCTCAGTGGGGCCCCTTCAAATCATTAGTAAGCCAAGCATGGGAACTTTTTCTAAAATGTATGTGCAATGATCAAATAAGTTTTCTTCATGCATATTCTAAGAACAGATAAAATATAGGTTAATTCTAAATAAATATTAAAGATCCTGTAACTCAAAATTTTTATGGTTTTATATCATAAATATAATGCTCAAATGAAGATTTATCAATATTTAAAGTTCAAAAAGGTATTATTTGTAAAGATATTATCGCATTTACATCTCATGTTAATAAAGGGAGGTAATTAGAAATTTATTTTCTATAAAGACTGAATTACAACAAACAGGAACTTCAAATAAAGGAAAACTTACTTATCTAGCCAAATAACAGCGTTTAGATCTAAATGGTTTGTAGGTTCATCTAACATCAGTAACGTAGGCTCCAAAAACAATGCTCTGAAAGTAAAAATAATTTATCTAAAAATTAAAATGTATCATTACACTTTTGTGTGTACATAATCATCCCCTTTTGCCAAGTATTTATATCATGAAATAACAAAACTGACTATAAAATTGCCCTGTTAACATATTCATACTTAAATTCATTACGGAGGTTTGAATGTAACTCTTATGGGAACTCCCAGTTTTCTGTATGTGCATAAAATTTATAGTTATAACAAACTGAATTATTTTTATAACAATTTCATGTATGTAAAGCTTTTTTTATGTTTATTTCGATAGCCCAATGAAAACATTTCGGGATTCCTTACTATATAAATTTGCTGCTAAAAGAAATTCATGAAAAAAGATCACGCCAGCAATATAGAATGAACAATAAATGAGCTGTGTCATGACAAAACCAACACAATGGGTTTGCGACCAGCATGGATCCAGACCAGCCTGCGCATCCGTGCAGTCTGATCAGGATCCATGCTGTTCGCTTACAAACCCTATAACAAGTAGAGAAACTGATAGCGAACAGCATGAATCCTGATCAGACTGCGCGAATGCTGTTGGTTTTGTCGTGACACGGCTCAAATGCTTTCTAAAATCAATCTACACTTTAAATTCTGCCCTTTTTGAAAGAATTTCAGAATATACAAAACCACTGGCACCATTTTAAGTTTAAGTCACATAAGTTTGGGAGCGTTAATTTTACAGCCATTCATTACTCACTTTGCTAATGAAACTCTCATTCTCCATCCACCTGACAGGCTTTTGGTCGGCCGTTCCATCATTCCTACGGTAAATCCGAGACCGGACAGAATTCTTCTAGCCTTTGGTTCAGCTGCGTCGGCCCCAATAGCGCGCAACTCTTCATATACCTGTTTATATTGAAATTATTTTTTACATAGACAATAAATCAAAGTACTGAAAGTACTAGAAATCGGCAAAGCATGTGAAACAATCAGCTTTTATTTTCTGTCGGAAAAAACAATTCTGTATTGTTTCAAACTAAGTATTTCAGTACTTAAGCTTTAAAAAGTGCAACATGTCACTGAGAAAAACCTTCTTCAAATATGTCTTGAGAGCTTTTTATAAAGCAACAGTGATGTTTGTTTCTAAAAATAGAAAATTAGGAAACAAGTTGTCCGCCTTACTAATTTACATATAGACAGCCGCCCGGTAGATTAGAGGTATCTAGGGGTTTCCTTATTGTCTAAAATTTTTATCACTGGCAAGTTTCATTTTCCATATTCTTTTGATTTGACAACTAATTGAAACATTTCATCTAAAAATAGAATAGTTAACCTTAAGAAAAGCTGAAAGCTGCTTTAAGGAATAATTTTAGCAACTTTTCAGTGGTATTTTGAATATAAAAGCCAAGGAAAAGAAAAAAAAAAAAAATATATATATATATATATGTATACCTGATTTAATCTTTCTGAATTTTTCGTGTTGCCAGCATCACTTTCCTTTACAAGTTTTTTTTCCTCCTCCAGCAAAGCCTCTCTCTTTACATCAGCTTTCAGGACAACAGACAAAGCTGGAGTTTCATCAGCTATCACCTCTGTAACAAAATTGAGAAAATTGAGCCGCGCCATGACAAAACCAACATAGTGTGTTTGCGCCTAGCATTTATCCAGACCAACCTGTCCATCTGCACAGTCTGATTAGGATCCATGCTGTTTGCTATCAGTTTCTCTACTTGTAATAGGGTTTGTAAGGGAACAGCCTGGATCAAATGATCGAAATGATAAATTAAAGCATTGATTATTCATTTGTGAGGTATATATATGGAAGGGCAATAAACCAATATATCATCGAAATTTGTCCCCTGTGTCCATATATCGTTGATATGCTTTGCACTGAATCAATTACAGCTCTAACCTTCAACATCCTCTCATATAGGATTCAAACCATATATTTGAGGTGCTAAGAATGTGGTAAAAAAACTAAATCTAGGTGTCATTAGGAAAGCATGCTTGACTATTCTCAGTGCTTGATAGTAAAACAAGAGCCTGGATAATGTAGATTTTTTCATAGTTTACAAATGGCAAATTTTCTGTCAAAATCCTTGATAGAGTTATAAGCCCTGGAGAGTGACTCCCTATTATGCTCTCAAATAAGTGTGTGAAGTTTCAATCCATTCCCTTTAATACTTTTTGAGATACTTACAATGTTTTTCCTCATACTGTTTACAAAAATTACCTGTGTAGAAAAAGGACATAAAAACAATCAAAAGTGACTTATTACTTTCAGTTTCTTTGTATATCTGTTAAAACAATACAAGTAGGTTCACAAAGAGAAAGTGAAATCTTACCTTGTTCGCAATATAGGACATCTATATTGGGAGGGATGTTAAGGGCACGGCCTGATATATGCTTCAACAAAGTTGTCTTTCCGTGTCTGTAATTGTAATAATAAACTTTGATTAAAGATTTTAAACAATTGTTCAACTCAAAAAAGATATTAATACTTGTCATCTTCTACATCATATTATGTTAACTCAAAACTTAGGATATTTGTTAATCAAATTCAGGTTTTCCATATTTCCTTTTGGTACACTGAAGTTGTGAAATTTGATCTTATCTAATAGAAATACAAAATCATTGCTCTCTATAAATTGTAAGATAGCCGATGAAAATGTGCAATAAATCAGTGGCATCACACTACTGAATATGTTTTTTTTCAAAGCATACTTTAGCAGAAAGAGCTGGCGGTAACTTCTGTATACACATTCATTTTGCCCATATGTAGTGTCTCAGAGAGAGCACCTTCCCCATTATGCATACACTTCTTCATCACAATGTCACCTTAGTGCACTAACAGGTTATGTGTGTATTTTATACTCGCCACTGGTTGCCCATATGGGCGAGTCCTCCAGAAGAGTATTAGACATTTTAGATTTTGGAGGATAGTGCAAGAATCAGATACAGAAATATGCCCCAATTCCAGAAGCTTTTTCTGGTCCTTTTAAGTGCCAAGTGTTTCAGCAATCATACATGGGACCTCGATTTAAAGTCTCATCCGAAAGACTGATTAGTAATTTAAGTTGGCCAGCCCGGGAACCGAACCCACAATGTCTTGATTATCAGTCACGCGCTCTAACCTATTGAGCAATGCCGGCTGGCTGTCTAACAGGTTAACTTTTTAGGTTGGGACTTATGTCACAGAAACACAGTAGATGTAATATGCAGACTTTCCAGCTTTACTGGTGGAGCAAAACCTCAGGTGGTATTTAAGACATGAGCGGGTACCCAAGTAGAACCAACGATGTTTTGTTAACTACATGGATAGCTTCCTCCGAGACGGCATTTTATTTTTGTGTGGACACTTCCCCACATTTAAGCAAGATTTTTAACTTGAAAGCCTGAGTAGTAGTGAGTTTTTTTCAAAAGCAAAAAAGGGTTTTTTTTTTTAAAAAAATCAGCAAATGCAACCAATCAAAATCGAGTCTACTGGTGCAGTCTAGTTATATAAATGTCGTTGGTCATTATGAAAATGTTTTATGTAGAATAGGATAACTTCTTTACGAAGGTGAGCGCCACACGGCGGTGCGGATAGCGCCTCGTGACCCGTGTTCGGTGAACCTACTAAAGCCATAATCTTTTTCTGCCTAGCCAGTGATATAAAAGAACTGGCATTTACAAACAGATCTTTCCCACGTGCCGATATAGAAAAATTCTCAACCTGAAATATTGTTGTAACACAATAATAATGTATCATTGCTGATGAGCTGTAGTTTATAAATAGTAACTAAGCCATACATGTATATAATATTTCCTACAGAATTCTGTTACAAAAGTATTTGAATTTCAGTTTGTTTGGTTGGTTATTGAAACCTATTTTAACACATTTTTGGGACATATCTTGCCAGTCAATAACATAACTTGTTTTCCTTGACTACAAACAAGTAATTACCGATTTCTCTGAAAGTGACAGACTTCTTATCCAACTCAATGTCCGAGATTAAATGTCACCGAGAAATTACGCCTCGCCGGAGGATTAAACCAGCCACCTCTGGATTTCTAATCAGATGCTCTTCTATTGAACTAAGCGTGCAGACTTTATTTTTTTCATTTAAGGGGAACAGCATCAAAAAACATTTTTTTTCAATGAAAATTTCAGATTTTAAGATGAAAATGCAAATAACATACCTTAATATCAAGCTGGTTTTCTAGAACAGCTGCTTTGGCTGATTTTTCAGCTTGTGAGACAGAGAACTGGTGTATACTGTTGGGGTCCAAACTCTCTAATTGTTTGTTATATTCCATCTAAAACAAGATTAGAAAATCATTACCTATTCCATAAATAGAGGATATTGAATAAGTTGAAGTTAAATACTGAATCTATTGAACAAATTGAATAAAGTTATATTGCGAGCATTATATCATTTTATTGAACAAGTTCAATAAATTATAATTTTAGTTGCACAAATTTAATATACATTTTGTACTACTTATCACATACCAAATTTAACAACCGTTTGAAGTGAAAAAGAACCATTTTTCATTGACAAGCCTAAAGTATAACACTAAAATTTAGCCTGTCTAAACATTATGTTTATATGATAAACAAGTATTACAAGTTTTAAGTTGAAAACTTTGATGGTTGTAAAATCATCCTGCTAATAATTAACAATTAAGCAATTTTGACAAAAAGTGCAAGTTAAAAAGGGGCACTACTCTAACTATATAATTTTCAGAATAATGCCCCTTGTCTTACAACTATGCCATGCCAAGATATACAAATATTGCAAGTTGTTTATGCTAATACCTATTAAATGTTTGAAATCATTCTGTTGACAAAATATTCAAGTTAAAAAGGGGCATAACTTGTACAAACATAGCTTTTCAAATGATGCCCCTTTGACACATGAAAGAAGCCAAAGTTCCCAGGCAGGATTCTAGCCCACAGTGGCAAGGTGTAAGTGGTTCAGTCGGCCAACTTCATCACACAGCCATGGAGGCCCTTAGTTGTTTATGTGAACATTTAAACATTGTTTTATGTGAACATTTAAACATTCTTTTATCTTGTATAACAACACTTAGCGTGATTTTCTAATTTATTGAATTTCTAGTTAATTACCTGTTTTTTAAGCTTTTTTAATTCTTTCTTACTCAGTTTAGGTTTGACAGTCTCTTCTTTATCTACTTCATCTACAAAATATTACAATCAGAGATTTTTTTTCCACATATTTGGCAAAGATGGTGGAAGCCCATCAAGAGTGGAATAATGTGTTGTTATTAGCAATTTTGTATGAAACTAGAAATGTGTCATCATGCCATGGATGCCCCCGCATGCAGCCAAAATTTCAGATGTTATAATAAAATAATAATAATATTTAGTTCCAAATTTGTTTGCACAAATTATTTTTTTTCATTTTAAGTTCAAAGCCCTTAAAACTTTTCAATATTAACACAAACCATTTTCATACAATATTCAAGGCACTGAAATTATACAGTCTAAACCTTTTGAAAATAGCATATTTCATATTTCTAGCCAAAAAAATGGCTACATACATTTCAGTGCTGAAAGTGAAAGTTCAAAATTTTTCCAACATTAAAGAAAGATAAGTTTGTCCAAAATCATTGAACCACGACCAAATTCAAACTTAAACTGCTTATTCCTAAGATGTATCTATATTATTTTTCTAAGTGAAAGGGACAGAACTCTGCCAAAAAATCATCGAACCATTACCAAATTCCAACTTGACCTGACCATTCCTTTGACATATCCATATGTCAAATTTGAGTTGTTGGGTAGATAATGAACAGAAACTGTAAATTTCATATCATTTTCAAAGTGAAAGGGACATTACTCTGCCAAAAATCATTGAACCATGACCAACTTTGAACTTGACCTACGCATTCCTGTTACATATCCATATGTCAAATTTGAGTTGAATGTGTTGTACCATTGGGGAGATAATGATCGGAAACTGAAAATTTCATATTATTTTCAATGTGAAAGGGGCATAACTCTGCCAAAAATCATTGAATCATGACCAAATTTGAACTTGACCTGTATTTTCTCACGACATATCCATATGTCAAATTTGAATTGAATGTGTTGTACCGTTGGGGAGATTATAAAGGCAAACTGAAAATTTCATGTTATTTTCAAAGTAAAAGGGGCATAACTCTGCCAATAATCATCGAACCATGACCAAATTCGAATTGACCTGTATTTTCTCATGATATATCCATATGTCAAATTGAGTTGAATGCGTGCAACCGTTCTTAGATAATGAACTGAAACTGATGATGACGGAATGACAGAATAATGGAACAGGGTAACACTATATGCCCCGGCCATTACATGGCGGGGGCATAATAAAAATAAAAATCAGCAAGGTTTGGTTTAACTTGTCAAAAGTTTGCCTAAAGCTTATGGAACTCTTGAATCCATTCCTGGAACCAACCAGTACTGAGCAATGTGTGTCAAGTTTCTTTCTCAAGGAAACAATGGCTTGATGGGGTTTGAACCTATGAGGATAGCGATCCTCAGATTATTAGTTCATTGCGTTAACCACATGGCCATGCCTCCACCGAAATCAGACAGGTTTGAAACAATCATTGATAATTCATATTCAAAATACTAGAAACCAGGATACCTCTGCTTATATCAGTAGAAATTTCCTCAAATTAAATCACTCCAAAATTTTAGGGGTTTCCTATATTCTATAACATTTTTAGAGGAACATTTTTCTATAATTAGGGAAAAACATAATACTTTTGGCCTTAAAAATCACTGGCAACTTTTATGTTATACACACATTATTCCTGGTTTTCAATGAATTTTTTTTTTTTAGTACATTTGTATGTTAAGTCACACTTGTAAGGTCATAACAATGTTTTTCAATTTTCAAGTTGAGGACAACGTCTGGTGCTAGTCTGTACTTCAGGCATGAGATGGCAGCAGAGTACAACACTAACCTTTTATTTGGAAAACCTTGGTTAAAATTCAAAGTTGTAAGTCGGATTAAAACCTACAGCAGTAAGATACCAATGATTGTAAGTCAACCAAAGAGTACACTGATTTTTCACACTTAATTGGGAAGAACCCATAGCCACTTGATTTTGGGGAAAATTATCGCTAAAATTGCTAATTTGGGAAGTTAAAAAGCAAGTTGAAGTTTAAATTATTGGGAAAACTGCATGGTTTTAGAAAAAATTTCAATTGGGAAGAGGCCCTTTATCGGAGTCTGTTATATAAGCAGAAAAATCACTGGTTCTTCACCTGATTAAAAGAAGTTATTTTAATAAATCAAAAAGCCTTCACTTAATTAAGTGACATATATTTCCTAGCAACACAGAGCATGCCTTTTTTTACAAGCTTAAACCAAAGAAATACTTATAGACTATGTAAGATCGTTGAAACAGAACTTGGGATTCAAACCTGCAGGTTCCTCATCTCCAAACTGACCAGCCATATCTCTGTCGATCTCTTCTGGTTCATCATTAAAATCATCATCATCATCTTCGTCCTCGCCATTGTCAGCGTCTGGAGAGGCACCTCTTCTACCTTTACCATTTTTCACCTGGAAAGTTACATTCAAATTTTACAATTTATGTGACAATATTTAAGTTTAGTATTGTCAAACTGTGTACTAATCTATATTTCTAAAATGCTATACAATGTATTCAAGTTTTAAAATCGGTACTTCTGCAGGGCTAGCACTGGCAAATTTTTCCTTTGAGCCAATTTTTTCGCGGCGAAAATTGCCTGCCTGTATTTTATTTTCAAATAAGGCAATGGTACTGCATGAGATATATAGAAAAAACATAAACTATATACAACTTTATTTTGGTAGCTACATTTTTATCACATTGACCCATGCAACTTATATAATTGACAGTGAGTTATCATAAAAGCTTGCAGCTCAGTTACTATAACATTTGCCAGGTTAGGTTGGGCAGCAAGGTTCCCATAAAATCTTAAGTCAGTGAGTGGTATGACAATGACAGCAGAAACACATTCCAATGTGCTGCTTTAGCTTGCTTGGTAAAGCTTATAATACAATGACAATATTTTATCTATGAAAAAATTGCTTTTATCCTCAGAAAATATTCTTATCTTGATTTGAGCGGAAAATATACATATAATTTACTTGTTCAATGTTAAAGTTCCATTTCTAAAAAGTCATTAAAAAAAATGAAACTCTTCTCGTCTACACAGCATACACTGTTACTCATTAGAAATAATACCCGATATATTAAACATTACAGGATTTTTCCCCCAGGATTTTGGGAACATGGCCCATACCCATTGAATTGGGAATTTGTTAAAAATTGGGGGAAAATGCATCTTTGATAATTTGCAGCACTTGATTAAATGAATGCAAAAATCTATGTCTAGGATGGCATCTCCAAACATTTAAGCATTATAATAGTGAAGAAGCCCTTATTTTAAAGATTTTAGAGCTTTTTATTCAATTTTTTTTTTGTGTAACTTTCAATTGGGAACTTATTCCTGTTGATTGGGAAAATAATATACTATTTTCAATTGGGAATGTGACCAAATAATGAAATATCGCCCAGCAAACACCTGACGTTGTTTCAACGTTGGATCTAAGTTGGATTTATGTCACGACGTCAAAATCCTAAATACAACGTTGAAACAACGTTGTATTTGCGACTTTGTATCAACGTGTTGAAATTACGTCGATACAACGTCGGATTTCAGTGTAATCCAACATAGTCGGATTTCAGTGTAATCCAACATAGTAGTCTTGATTGTGTTACTTCCCTTTGTTCTGATCTATAAACCTGATAGGTGGCTCTAATTTCAGGTCAATATAATCATTCGAATTTTGTTATTCATTTTTTTTCACATCCATAGTATTTTTTTTTTTAAATTGTTGTTATACTAGACCATAAAAAGGAACAATATTAGTATTTTAATTAAATAAATTGAAAAAAATAATGGAAACTTGATGAATTTCAAAACGAGGCTACAACAACAATTTGTTTTCAAATTCAAACAAAGACAAAGGAAGGACAATATGCACATCATAGAAGACAACTCGCATGGTGAGAAAGTAAGTGATATTTTTGAAGGTAGATTAGTATTTAACTTACTGCATGCATAGTATAATAACTGAAAAATTATTAGTTACATTAAGAATATAATTATATTTTCATGATATTCAATTATCTCAGTTCTAAACCAGTTAATTAATTTAGTCTGATTCGCCCTCATTTAACTCGTACTTTGGGATTCAATTGATATATAAATTGTATAAGTTTGAATAAATTGTATGAAATTCTGTCAAACTTTTTGTTTTATTTGTGTTGTCATTTTAAGCCAAGATCCCTACATGACCTTAATCTCTCTAATTCGATTTATCAGATTAGTAGACTAGATAACAATAGGTATTTCACCACAACGTATTTGTTAACAAAGGTACACCTGTCAATATTTTAGATTTAATCTATTGTTATTCAAATAGATCTACATGTAAAAGGTCAAAGTAGGGATCTATCAATACATAAGTAAACTGTCAAAGTAAATTTATAACTTTTTGTCAATAATCATTGGGTTTTGTTTTTTATAGACTGACACTTAATTTTTGTGTGATGACAATTAGCTACATGAAAAACAGTCGTCAGAAAACACCATTTGGACATAAAAGAATGATAAGTGCATCGAATTAAGGTAATATATGGATTTTGATTTTGTTATTTACTGTAATTTCTGTTTTGTCATAATTAACTGTTAATCAAAAGTAAAATAATTACGTGAAATATCTTATGATTGAATTTGCACCTTTACATGTTACTGTTTTGCAAATTACATGTATTTGAAGTTACAGTTTTTGAGTGTTCTACATCATCAATCGACATCTGATTTTAATTTATGATATGCTAGGGTAATCTATTGGTAATAATATTTTTATTTAATATAATTTAATTGACCATTTTGGTTGTTATGTACACCTATTTATTTCTGTTTCTTTTTTTCAGTTTCAAGGAGAAAAAAAAACAACAAGTTGAACCTCAAAACAAGTTTGACACAGTGTCTTCGTAGATGAAAATAATCAGGATCCAGTGGTGGACGTTTAGTATACCAGAATTATTCACATGGAGGAGTATATCTCCAAATTTAATACTTAGTTAGTTTTGAAAGAAATAAGATAAAATAAAAACTTTCTATAAATGTGAATATTTATTTATTGTTTTGTGTGTTACACTTAATTTTGACAGAAAGGAATATTTTCCCTCACTTATCCGATTTGTTACCGATGAAATCAACTGCAAAAGAAAGCTTTATTTTCCATGATTTCCATTTTCTATGAGTTATTTAAAAGAAAACCTTTTTAAGCATGTTGTAAACATGAATACTTTAATTGGCATATATTGTAATAGTTAATGTATACTGTAGACCTTTAAATGAAAATTATTTGTTGACTGTTTTTTGTTATAATTTTGGATTACACAATGTGTATTATTGCCTTGACTGAAAGAGGTCTGATAAATGTTGAACTTCAATTTTGAAAAGACATGTAGCTCTTATTTTTTTTAATTTTAAAAGTTTATATACAATTTATAAATATCAAACTTTATTTTATCATCACTATAAATGATTAAAAGTGAGTCATTTTTTGTGATGTTATACAAATGTGTTGGAAATATATATTTACTGTACATTAATTTTTACATGGATAGATAAATCAGAAACTGTGTTATACATTTTGTTTAATTGTTTTTATGATCACTGTCTTAAAATAATAAAATCACTTTTCGAGTATAGAAAGTTTTGTATTTTCTCTTTATTTGGGAATTATTTAATGAAAACGGGTCAGATTTATGTTGGGAATTGGTTGTAATTACGTTGGAAACTAGTTGGTATTACGTAAGTAACTGGTTGGAATCATGTTGGGAATAGGTTGAAAAGTTGTTGTATATACGTTGAATGGAGGTTGGATTTATGTCATTTTATGACGTTGGATTGACGTCGGACTCTGACGTCAAAAAAACTTTCATATACAACTAAATTCCAATGTCTATCCAACGTCGGACTCTAACGTCTGAGCAACGTTGAACCAACGTCATGTGTTTGCTGGGTTCATACCGGAAAAGAAACTCTTCATGAACTAAATGCATGTAAAGAAAGTTTACTTACACTTGAAACACATTGCATGCTAATTTAAGATATAGACCGACCGCAGAAGAAGGAGTGCTTTTGGGCGGAAGAAGTTTGCCACATTGTGGACGATATTAGCGTCAATTAGAGACACACTGACATTACTTTACATAAGTATAAAGCAATAAAAAGCATATAATGTCACTATCTGCGACAGAAATATCTCGTCTTTACAGACAGAGACTCAAAGAAAACCCTGTAAAAATATGCAGCGCTATGAGCATATAAAGGATATGGGTGATATAAAGCTGATAAGTGAAATGAGTAGTTGACAGCAAAGAAATACAAGGCGTGAATGGAAGAAAAGAAAACAACATGAAAAAGAAAGAAAGAACAATTAATCACTATTACACCACCAACATCCCCCAAAGGAGCACCTGGCCCGTTCCCCATCATTTTGAGACCACCTAGTCAGAAGATGTTTTCTGGAAGGAAAAGGGGTAGTAGAGAGAGGTCAAAATCTTAAAGACGTATAAAGGCCTTATAAAAGAAATTAAAATCTGCCACAAAACAAGCAGAAAGATATTGTAAGCAATTACAGAGATGTAATCAAAGAGCACAGACTGACTATCCTAGAACAAAAACAAGATTGCTTTCGAGAGGACAAAAAGTAAGCAAGGCAACCAGAAAAAGTACTTTTATTTCATCTTTTTTCTTCTAGCTGGCATCAGACAAAAGTATCGCCAAATACAGTCAAAAAAGGAAAAACAATTATCAAGCAATGCAATTAAAAGCAAATTAAAATATAGAATGCAACAACAGGCAAAATCAGCACTTGGTACAACTAACAGGCAGATTAAAAGTTATTAAAGAGAAATATTACGAGGAAAGCGTCGCACCATTCTTGATAAGCTGAAGAGTTTATGTGCCTTGACGATAACAGTCGCGTTAAGCCTGGACAAAACATGTAGAAGAACTGTACATAAGGAGAAAAAAAATACGGTTACTTCCAGACTCCTTAAAAAATCTTTATTCAAAATTCCTGTCTGAAAGTGTAAAAAGAAAAATAACATATTCATTCTTATGTAGACTGAAACCATTCTATATTCGTCATCCAACTTGAGCCGATAGAGACACCTGCTTATGCAAGAAACATGAAAACCTAAAATTTAAAGCAATAAAACTTAAACAAAGCAACGTCATATTTAGTCAAGACTTGCACGAGCTTGCTTAAACAGTTGACTTTTCCGAACATTATAATTGCAAATATGAGAAAGAAATTCAGAGAACACAGTTTAGAGTATCGCAAAAACAAGTTTCAATACACACATGTGTTTAATGCACATCAACAGGCGCGGAAGGTGTCTGTTAAATTTCAGATTATCTTTAACATGATCGAAGTCGCATTTATGCCAGAGGGAGAAACAAACACATTAGCTATGTATTTTTCATAAGTGATGGCCCCACAA